AGAAGATGGCCATTTACAAGCCAAGGAGAGAGGCCTGGAACAGGTCCTTCCTTCATGGCCTTCAGAAGCAACTGACCTTGCCAACCTCTTGATTTCAGATTTCTAGCCTCCAGAACAATGTGAGACGGATACATTTCTGCTCTTTAGGGCATCCAGCTTGTGCTTGGCTATGGTAGCCCCAGGAAATTAAGAGTTCCCTTTTGCTTCACCCCTACTCCCACCTCATCAGCAGGTCCTATCAGCTCTGTCTCCAGAATAGATCCCCAATCCATTCAGGTCTCTCCATTCCAAGGCTAGGTCACCATCATCTCTCACCAGGATTACTGAGATAGCTTCTTACCCAGGATCTGCTTCCCTGCTTCCCTCTATTTAGGCTGTTCTCCCCATACAAGCCAGGCGATGTTGCCCTTACCCCCACACCTCCACTCACCACCATTCCCGCATGGTTTCCCAAGGCCTATAAAGTGAAGTCTAAGCCCTTAACAGATCCCACAAGTGACCTCCTTCGTCTGGCCCTGCCTCCTTTAATCTCATCTTGTACCCCCTTCTCACTCACCGTGTCCTGGACACACCTGACTTCAGGACTGTCCACCCCCTCCGGACCTTGTTTGTCCCTTTGGTACATTTATTCTCAGATCTTGGTGTGACTGACCACTGCATCACAGTCAGGGCTCAGCTCAAATGCATTCCCACTCAAATGGAACCTCACCAAGAGGCATTTTTAACTAAGAAGCCCAACCCCCCAGTCAACCTCTCCCCCGTCATCCCGCCCTTCTAGTGTTTTCCACCACTAAATTTCCCATTTGAAGATAATGTTCTGGTAACTTCAGTTTACACTTGTATTCACTGCCTTCCTGCACTGGAGCTGAGCTCCACGAGAACACGGCCCTGGTCTGTCTTGTTCCGTTTGGATGCCCAGAGTCTGGCATGTAGCTGGATCAATGAATGAAGTCATGCCAGCTAACCCAACGGTCCTGGACGAAAAGAGATCTTGAAAAAAAATGTTGTTCAGTCAGCCCAGGTCATTAGGGAGAGAGAGCTGGGGCAATGAAAAGTACAGAAACGTGACCATCAGTCATATCTGTGGCCAGACTTGGATGACAATGACCCACCATTTAGCCCATGGTCCAGCCATATCCTCCAGCCAACTCACTCGTTTCAGGAGGAAATAATGATCAAGAAAATTCCATATCACTGAAAGCAGTAGGGGGTGGGGGTGTGCTTTATCAGCTCCTATATTATCACCTACCTTCCTTTTGCTCAGTTACAAAGAGCTCATTGTAGCTGGGACTTTCTGATAACAAGGGATCTTTTCCTAATTACTATATGCTCTATTTCAGGTTCAGCAGAAAAGAAAATTAAAAAGCTCCATTTCACTCCAGGTTCAAGTGAGTTAATCTTTCAATCAATCATTAATTAAGCTATGCCAGGAAATACAGGGGAGGTAGAAGACATCCTCGCTCTACTCAAAGATGATCCAGGGGAAATAATTAGAAAATAATTTAAGAACAATGAAAAGAGTTTAAAAAGGTTTTCATTTGGGCTTTCTCTGGCTTTCTGTGACAGAATGCCTGGAATCGCTAGCCCGTTTGTTCCCCTTTGCTCTTTCTCTTCCTTCTTTCCTTCCTTTTCTCTCTTCTCATCTTTAATTACACTGCCTCCGAAGGGTCCGTGTTGTACACTCATAATTAGCCTTTTCCAGTCACCCCTTGGGATCAGACATCCTGTCTCTCTGCTTTTCTGAAAATTCCAACAGTGCTAAATGTGATTGAATATCGTATCTGCAGCCTGTCAGCAGGTGGACAAATTCCCCTTACTTATGTCCTTGAGATCATAAGGAAATTTCCCGATTTTCCTACCCCTAAACTAGAAAACGTCCAGGGAAGAACTTGGCCTCCTCTGCTCACACTGTTGTGGAGTCTGGACAGTATTCACTTAAGCATTTTGAGTTTAGAATTTCTCTTCTGTAGATAGAGATATTAGCACATTTCTCAGAGGGTTAGGCATTTTTTATCCACTGTGCCACATCATTTTCTCCTCAATACCTAGCACAGTGCCTGGTTGAAAGTGGGTTGGCAAGTAGTACTTGTGGGGTGGATGAATGAGTGAATGAGTGAATGAATGCCTTGCTGGGAACAATAAGAGATAATGTGCACCAAGCATGTAACCTAAGTTCATTTCACACAGCGGGTACCTTGATTTTATTTATTTATTTGAGAAAGCAAGAGAGATAGAGCGCAGCAGAGGCAGAGGGAGAAGCAGGCTCCCCGCTGAGCAGGGAGCCTGATGCGGGGCTCGACCCCAGGATCCTGGGATCATGACCTGGGCTGAAGGCAGATGCTTAACTGACTAAACCAACCAGGTGCCCCTGTTCTAATCAGAGTTTGATCAATTTTTCCCTGAACTGGTTTAAGAAGTGGGTTAGCCAACTCCTAAGGAATCAGGGCAGATGCATTTGTCTTTCTCCTGCTTTCTTGCTAACTTAATTTCTGTTCCTTTCCAGCTGTGTCTCCTTCTTTCAGGCCTTCTGACCTCCAGGATCTAGTTTCTCTGGGGTACCTTGTTTTGTCTGCTACGATCAACTTTCTCCTCTCCGTTCAGCTAGAATGCTCACTTGTTTTCTTTGACTGGCCTCTTTTGACAAAGATACTTCAGGAGACCAAAGCCTCAAAACAGAGGGTTGGCAAAATGTCTTATCACCTTTCACAGACACAGGGAATAATCTGCTGAATCAAAAAGTCACCATTTGTTGCATTCTAAGCGCCGAAACTCTGCGTGTATAGTCAAGGCTTTATAGACATGGCCTCGTTCAACAGCTCGGAAGGTGGGTCTTTTTTATCCCCATTACACAGGGGAGGAAACTGAGTCTATCGGCGATTAAGTAATTTGCCTGAGGCTGCAGAGCTACTAAAGTCAGAAGAGGTTTGGCTCTGGTCTGATCTGAGTTCGAGGATCCTGCCGTGACCACTATACTCGCTACATAGCGGCCATGCTCAGGAAGCTGACGACTCCATCTCTGGACCTTCTCTTCTAGATGACGTGGGGTGTTGACCACATCCGTCACCCATCAGACGTCTGAAAGCCTGCCACGTGTGCCACAACCTAGGGATACACTCTTGACTGATGAAGGTGTCCTCTGTGACCTCAAGGAGCTCCCATTTTAATAGGACCAAAAATGTAAGAAGAGAAATACAATATCACATATGACAGCAGGTATCGGGGACCCAAAAGCGTGAAATCCCTGTGAATGCCCATGGGTGGTCCAAGAGCTATATCCAACCCATAGGCACTTTTATTCTATTTTATTTTCCTACTTTATTTTTTCCCTCCTCTAACTTCATGTAAAATTATCAACTTTTAGCTAGCCCCCAAATTTGGCCACCAACCTAAACTCCTACCCAGCCACAGTCTGCTGGGGCTTTACAAGGTCCTGTGTTCCCTCCTTAACCCTCATCTGACACCCTGTCCCACCCTGCTAGCCTCACCCAGTCCTATCCCCTACCTTGTACCTGGACACATTGAAAGCCTGCAGCCCCCGGGTTACAAACGTCGTGGGGAGTAAGGGACTACATTCCCTATTCTTTGCGCTGTAATGTATGTCGGGGAGAGCAAGGCCGGGGGCTTGAAAAGGAGAAATGAGGACGAAAAGCAAAAGGCAAAAGCTGTACTCTCCAGTCATAATCTCCACCTTGATTGACTGATCTTGATCTTTGGCTAATCATACAAATAATAAGGATGAAGGATGTCTGCAAGAGGAATGAATGTGGATCAAAATGTCCCAAGCACAACACAAAAGGCTGGCAGAGGGGTGCAGCAGAGAGAATATGAAGCTCGGAGTCAGAGGATCCAGTTCCAGGCCTGGTTCGGTTGTCCTCCAACCCTCTGACCTCGGGCAAACCAGGCAAGCTCTCCCAGCCCTCTCCTCGTCTGAGGAACAAGGCCATTCGCTGTCCCAGATCTCTCTCAAGATTGTTGTGAAGAACAGCAAGACACGAAAGATCACTGAGAAGGGAAAATTGCGATCGAAAGGCAAGGTAGTGGTGTTAGAGGATTATGCTGAAGAGCTGAATTAAAGCTAAAATTAGAACCCCGAGCTTCTCTTCGGGATGCGGCCCTCCACCCTCTGAACCCCTGCTCCCCACCCTGTCCTCTATGAATCACAGTCATTAGGAGCTAGGTTTCCAGTTTGGAGAATTTCTGGGCACACACACTGACACCACTCACATTCGTGTTCGCTGCCGGTATATATCTGATCTGACCACATCCTGGTATTAGTGCAATAAAACCCGTAGCCATGGTTACCGTGAATTACCTGGCTTACAACAGCTCTCATTTTCACTTTCAAAATTATTTGGTAAAACAGTTTGGAGCCAATTTTTGTGGGTGTGGTGAAGCGCCTAGGTGCCGTTTTATTTTTGGAAAGTGTGAGCTTGGGGTCTGAGGTCATCTTTAAGTTAGGAGCTGTTTTGGAGGGGTGGTGCCTTCTCTGTGGCTGAGCCGGCCCACGGACACTTAAGTCCTCAAATGTCATCTCCTCTCAGAGGGAAAGAGTGTTTTTTGGAAAAGCAAGAAGACAATTAAGCGCTTGTGTGAATCAGGGTCTCCCACACAGGTGGTCATTAAAAAAATAGGCCTTAAACCGAAAGTCGTGTAATTCTCTTTAATACTAGAGAACTTCCTGTTCTCACACTTCGCAGCCAGGCCTGAATGATTGGCTTTTTATTTTTATTTTTATTTTTCTTAGTGGTGGTGGAAGAGAATTTTATAGGCTGGAATAGTTGAAAACTAATGGGGTGGCAAAAATATACAATTATGCAACTCAAAAGCAATACAGATATGATTTTCTTTTCTCTTCCATTTCCTCCTTCCATTTGATGTTCACAAACGTTCAGGGCAATTACAAGCCAAAAGCTACGTTACTATAATATTAAGGCTGGAAACATAAAGGCCGAATCATAGAGGGAGTAAGCAGAAATACTCTCATTCCAATCATAACTCACCCCTGCGGAATGCACAATGTGGAATATTTCAGACTCGCCAGGCTTTGGGCCACACGCTCCGGAGGGTGGGGTGTGCAGGAGTTCATGCTTCTGGAAGATGGACCCTCACTTCCTGTCTGCATGGGTTTTCATCTGCATCCCTAATGTTACATGGAGAGTTTTGTGGGTTTTTTTTTTTTAAACAGTTTCGATAAATAATTGTCGGTGAATGTGGAGGACACAGGAGTCTGCAAACAGCACCCTCTTCCTTTGATACAGATGACATTGTTTCAGTTTCATCAAATGCAGCTTAGGTGCTTTTGTGCAGATAGATTGTTATTCCTAAACTCCTGTTATAGAGAAATTCTGGAACTGTGGGGGCTTCACCCCACTCTTAATCTTCTTCATTTGCCTGCTCTCGCCCCCAAATGTCTTCCTCTTGGCCCCTGGAATGCCCTTCCCAAAGGAGGCTACAGGTACCGCAAATATGTGATTTGGGAGTAAGAGTCCAAGAAACTGCTTGAGCTGGGGATTGTTTGGGGGGTGGGGAGGCGTAGATACTACTATACACACACACACACACACACACACACACACACACACAGACACCCTTCCCTCAACCCCCCTCCTCGCTCCCCCCCACCCACCACCTCTGCTCCATCCTTGCCTGGAGACCTCAGAGCTTTCGGGAAGACCCTCTAGAAAGCACATGGGGCATCTGGGAGTGCAGGGATGGTGGGCGAGGCCGTGGAGCTGAGCTCTCCATGGGTGGCCCAGGGGCTGGGCTGCTTTCAGGCTCTGCACCATCTTTTAAGCTTTACCTCCCATAAGCAGCCCAGAATACATTTTTTTTTTTTTTTTAACTCAGACCAACTCAGTATCAGGGTCTTGAAGAAATAGGACATTGTGTGGAAACACTTTGATAGAGCAAAGGGTCCTGAAGGTGTGGTCCTGTCTCTGCTGGTAAGAAGGGAGGTGGGGTGGGGGGTCCCAGGGAGGGAGTTGGCTTAGAGCAGCCAGAGAGGGAGGCAGGTGTCCTTGTAGGGTCCTCATAGGGGAGGCAGTTCTGCTCCTCAGGGGAGAGCCTGTGGGGCTCCAGTTCTGGCTTTGACTTTTGTCTGGCTTTATTTGTTTATGCTCCTGTAGGTTTTCATAGGAGCTGAATTCTTGGCAAAAAGACAGGCTGAGAGCCGTGAGTAGAGGGGAAGCTCATAGACTGTGGGAGGAGAAGTCAGCTCAAATTCTCACCTGTGACTCAGTGTGCATCCTTGGGAGGTAATTCACTCACTTTGGGCCTCAGTTTCTCCATCTCTAAAATGGGGGAAAATCCAGACAAATACTCAAGAAAGTGATAAAAATACGTGTTGCCTCGATGGAAGGACACTGGGGCCAGGGATGGAAGAGTGCCTTTTCTCTAATTCCTTTGGTACCGAAGGTTTGATCACATGAACACACCTTCTGAAGGAAACAAATAGCTGGTAGTGAATACCTGTCTCACAGGTCCTTAGGTCAAAACAGACAATGTATGTGAGCGTGCTCCTAGGTTGTTAGGAACTGTACAAATATTTAGGGTCATAATCGGTATCATTCCAGGCAGATGTTGGGACATAGCAAAAAATACCATGCCTCAATTCTGCCAGGTAGTCAAAGTGGCCTGAAATTCTTGGGACATTGGCTCCTATGCTGGGAGGTCTTCCTGCCTCCACCCCACCCTGGATGGATGGATAGCAACCCACCCCACTCCCACCTGGGTGGCTCTTGCACCTGGCTGTGCAGTGGTGCTGGGCAATCGGGATCCCCTTTCTGCCCAAATGACCCCTGGTTTTTAAGGGCTGGCTGAGCATGTCCGCCCTGCTGAGCAAGTTCTGACAAGCACATTCCATCCTTTGCCAGGAGGCCTTGGGGCCCCCCGCTGCTTGGTGGGAGCAGAGGGAATGGTACTTGTATCTGTGACTGCCCTTGGATTGACCCCGGGTGGGGGTGGGGAGGTTTGGATGGAATGTGTGCGAGTCTCCCTTGGGTTGTTTACGGGGTCATCATAATAAAAGCAAGGCTGCAGGCATATTGTTCTTTGTATCTGAAGAAGCCGACAGAACTTACAGCAGCTATTGCCATCAATAAAATTTGCTATTTGAATTACTTTCCCTGAAGTTGCATATGGATTTCATTTCAAGACATGTTAGTTAAGTAACTACTAGGTGATCAACTTGGTGCTGGGGGGGAAGAGCACACAGAGGTGTATGGAGGTTCCTACCCTGGGAGAGGTCAGGGACCAGAGACTTGCCGTGCAAGTCTCTGCCCACCCCCAACTGCGGGCCCCTCCCTTCACAGTTGGGAAGGTAATAATCCCACGGACTTCATCCCCCTCCCAGCCTCGCTTGCTATGAAAGCCAAACAATAATATGCATAGCTCTTTTATAAACTGAAAATGCTCTTCCAAGTATAATTTTCAAAAATAATAAAGGCAGTTGAAGGCTAAAGTAAATATCAGAAAATGCCAAAGTGCACACACCATTAGGAGGGAGAGGGATCAATGCTGGCTTGGATCTGAAAGGGGGCCCCCTGCACCCTGGAGTCAGAGGCTGAGGTGACTCCTCTGTGAGGATGGGATATCCTGGTCACAGAGAGGGTCGGACGGTTGGGTGGGGAAAGAGAAGTTGGGGTGAGCTGGCTAGAAGGGGGAACAAGAGTGCAGGTGAGAGACCAGCACATACAGAACCCCCCCCCCCCCGGGGAAGAGCGGGGGAACGAGGTGGGACTGCAGAGGCCTTTGAAGCTGAACATAGTTTCGCTGTAATGGGTGCCAGGGAGGCCCAGAAAGTTGGGGAACAGAGAAGACACAGCAGTGTCAGGGTTTCAGAGGCCATAGGCTCTTAACCCGGTCCCTCTCGTCATTGGACGTGTGCCGTGGCTAGAGCCGGGGATGACGCGGGAGTCAGCCCCCACCCCTGGGCTCGCGGGCAGCCTGCCCTCACCAGCCAGACTCAGTCATCACAAACATTACAATTAAAAAAAAGTTTTATTAATAGCCTACTTTCCTTCTTGCACAAAATCCGATTATGAACTGAAATGAAATATCACCAAACCCATCGGAAAGAAACTACTATTTATCTCGGGATCCCTTGGGAATGCGGGCGGGGGGGGGGTGGGGGTAAAACCCTAATGCGAGTCTGAGAACTGATGCCCAAATGGGCTTGCATTTATTTATGACTGGAGGAAGTCCTATCAAAGACCTTGCACTTAGAGCTCATTTTAATTTCTTAAGGGCTTCTGCAAACATTTCTTTACTCAATCTACAGTAATGTGAGGAGAGGAGGAATTTCTTGCCCTATTTCACAGATGAATGAACTAAGGAGCAGGAATTTGGTCAAAATTTGTTGAAAATTGCAAAGCCGGTTAGCGGCCAAGGGCAGACAGGGCCACAGTCTTCTAGTTTCCGGGTGTAATGTTGTCTTCACTGCACCAACTCCTACAAAGCCACAAGAGAGGAGCAAACGATGGTAACCTGTCACTTCTGCAGTTTACTCTCTCAGACTCCCTGCGACTTGTGGTCCCTCTCTTGCTTTGGGGTTTCCACAAGCTTCTGTCCCTAGACGCCCCAGCCCTCCCCCAATCCCACGCCAGCCACTACCACCGAATCTCCTGGTTTCTATTCCCTGAAGTCTCGGAGAAATATGGTGCCCCTTGCGAAGCCTTCTATGACCTCATGAAGGTGAGAGCCCCCGCCCCGCGCCCCTCACTGTCCTCATACTGCTAACCATAGCCCCTACCTGCTTTCGGCTAATTATTGATTTAATCATCTTTCTTCCTTTCTAGACAGAATCTATTTCCATCGCGGCATCTGGGACATGTTTGCTCTTGGAAAATATTTGCTGAATTAATGAATGGACATTTTTATAGGTGAGAAAACAGACTCACTGAAGTTAAACACCCAAGGTCTCATAGATGATTAAAGATGATGTGGTAATTCTTCTTCCCCCAAATATCCAGGGCGTGTTCCTCTCTGCCATGCTGTTTTCTGGGTTCACACACAACACTGTGGTCAGATGGAAGAAGATACTTGGAAGAAAATCCACCAACTGGATTTTCCATAGTCTGGGTCTGGAGAACGCTTTCAACCTGAGCTCAGAGTGTGCTTACGTATCAGATGCTCCTGGGCATTCCAGAGTATTGGCAGACTCTGCAGGCCTCTTTTGGTGACTGGCTATTTCTGAATCTCTAGCTGGGCTATCAGTGCCAAGAAACTGAGATGACAGCAGTGAGAGCTTGCTTCCAAAGATCTTTGGGCCCAGATGGAGATTGCACTTGACCTCACAGGGTGCCATATTGAAAGTCGTGACCTACCACCGTGTTCTTGAAATGCCCTGGTTAGGTGTCTTTCTGACACACTTTGGTGTTCATAAATTGGTATCATTTCATTTGGGTAATTTCTGGTTACCAAGCCGATTGAGTAGAGTATGCGTGTGTGTAGCACTCACTACGTACATCACTTTTATTACTGCAAAAGGCTCTCCCTGTTTCTTCCTAGAGGGAGTGACTCCCCTTGCTAGCTCTTTCCTTCCTTCCCCGAGCCTGCGTTGTTGACACAATTGGGGCCAAGAACCACCATCTCCACTCTCTGCAGGAGGGCAGCAGACAATTCAATTCAATGCATGTATGTTCAGTAGCCACCCTGTCCATGAAGACCTTCTCTCCTTTCTAGGCTTTTCCAGGTAATGCTGCCTCCTAAGAAGCAGAAACCTGCTAACTTCCTGGAGAAGGAATTCCAAGCTGAACTAAAGATGTAGACCGTGAACTCCAGGAATTTATTTTTTTGTTGGCGAAATGGAGGAGCACAGAAGAAGAACCACGAAGCAGGACTAGTTAAGTGTCCGAAGGGAAAGGCAAACAAGTGGTTATGGAGGGAGCTACAAGGAGGAAGCTGTTAATTCCATGAGAGATCCAGGCAAGGCTTGAAGGAAGGTGTGATTGGGGTTGGCATCTGCAGGGAGAGCAGGATGATTAAAAGTGAGGATGGGGATAAAGGCATTCCAGCTGCTGGAGAAAGCACAGCTGGCTCAGAGAAAGAATCCAATCAAGGCGGCCCTATCCGGAGCCTTCCAACCTCCCACTGTTACCATGGCAATACGCAAACAACTCACTCCAGCCCCTCCCTCCCTTAGCGCGTCTCCCAGCCCCGGGCTCTAACCCTACCAGTCCAGTGAGCCGCTTGGCCCAGGGCCCCAGGGCGAGGGTCCCTCCCGGTTGTGGCCTGAAGAGGAGGCCTGCGACAGGGAAACTTTCTCTCCTGTCCCAGGCCTCCTAGCCTATTCTGACTTGAAGGCCCGAGGGCAGGGCTAGGAGTGGCTGGTGATGTGCTGGGCCCAAGGCTCTTCAGACGGTGCTTTCCATGTTCGCCCTTGAAGGCAGATTATTGTGTAAGAAAACTTGAGGAGGCTAGTGAGTTTCCGCCTCCTTCTCTCCCCACTCCAGCCACACTTTATTCCTCTCAATATTCTTAAATGTGCTGTTAATCCCGATTTCAAATCCGGGGTCACAAGGGTAAGCAAAGCCGGTTCCAGTTGGCACAAGTTCAAAGGGATCTCTCTCTCTCTCCACACACACACACACACACACACACACACACACACACACTCAGTAGTTAGCCCACCCATGTAGCAATACTGATAATGTTTAGCACAAGGTCCGTGAAACCAAATGAGGCGTTTGCCCAAGAGGGGCAAATCCTACGTCAGAGGCTGCAAACTGGAAGCCGACAACATAGATGTGACCAGTGACCAGCGGCCAGATTGTGTTTGATCTGTGGCTTTCTAGTTCCCCAGCACATCGTCCCCATCCCCCCACACCTCCTGCGGTACTCTTTTAGGGACACCGGCCGGGGGGGGGGTGTCGAAGCTTGCCCCCTAGTCCATTCACTAGCTGCCTGACCTCAGAAAGTTCTGTTTCCTCAACAGTAAAATGAAGGTAAGAAGAGATGTGGGGCATCACAGGACTGCTGTGGAAATCAGATGAGCTAAATAATCTGTATAATGTGGCAAAACCGTGCCTGGCACAAAGTAGATGTTCAATGAATGTTAGCTTTGTCCACCAGGCCCCTGGGGTGTCCAGGCTTGTGAGCCCTGCAACAATTCAACGGTGAGGAGCTCAAGGGCACGCAGGGACGCAGAGGCGACATGCTTAGCATGGAAAGAGGCCTCTTGTTACTTCTGGCAGAGTCATCGAGGAATGCTCTGGCCTGTAGAACCTTAGCGAAGACGGGCCTGTGTGCAGCCCCTAGTGGCTAGGGGTGAGAGAAGAAGGATTTGGTGGCCTGGGGGCTTTCTCCAGAATCATGGTTTATAGAGAGATCACCGTAGTTGAAAATTTCATCCCCCCCTCTCCTGCCTCCCTTCCCTGACGAGGAAGAGATTACCGGGTACGTCAGGTACAGATGCTGTGCCAGACCCAGGGTTCCACTTGGTTTGTAAGCTATTGGAGAGCTTTCCCTCCAGGAATCCCCCTTGCTTCATGTTGGCACACAGTAGATGCTCAACCCCGAGCCCTGCTATCTTATATGCGCTTTGTAGAGGCCTCTGCTGGGCCAGGTCATGGGTGGTATAATGGGCTGGGCTGCAGCAGGTGGAGGGGTCTAGGACCCCCCTGTGCAGAACAAGAAGGTCTTGTAAAGCGTTGTGCTTTCACACTTGGGGTGGAGCCCAAAGCAGTAGTTATGGCTTAGGCAAGTCGGTCAGAGCCTGGAGAGCCGGCCCACCAGGGAATGAAGTGGGTATTGGGGATGTTGACAGTGTCAGTTCAGAACCTGGGTGGTGGCCCTGGTAAGCAGAGATCCCGGGACAGACTCTCATCCCAGGGAAGAGGCTGTTTCTCATAGCCATGCACGAGAGGGGGAGGATTTGCTCCCAGGTGCTTACAGCCTCCTAGGCGGAAGGTGGGATCTGTGCCTGCTTGCTATTTGGTTTTGTTTTTTAAATTCTCCATGGCTTTGGGGCACCTGGGTGGCTTAGTCATTAAGTGTCTGCCTTCGGCTCAGGTCATGATCCCAGGGTCCTGGGATCGAGCCCCGCATCAGGCTCCCTGCTCAGCAGGAAGCCTGCATCTCCCTCTCTCACTCCCCCTGCTTGTGTTCCCTCTCCCACTGTGTCTCTGTCTGTCAAATAAATAAATAAAATCTTTTAAAAAAGTAAATTCCCCATGGCTTCTAGCATCGTGTCAAGCACACACCAAGTTTTTAAGAAATGTGTATGGAAATGTAGCCGGAGTCACACTGGGGCAGCTTCTGCATTCTAGAGCGAGGCCTCCAGGCCTCCTAAGAATTTTTACAATTCCCCTTTTGCGAACAGGAGCCGGAGGTGACTGATGGAAGGCTAGTGATGGCAGCCAGATCGCACGGATGGTCCCTGGTACAGGGGAGCAAGAATTACCAGCTGGGGAGACAGACCTTCCCAGGAAGCTACTGCTTCTTGTACCTGCTGGCTGAGGTGAATCGCCTCAGACACAGCACAGCCATCAGCTAGGAGGCACTGAAGCAACAATACAATCTCGAGATGGATGGAGAAATTATGGTTTTACAAAGTGGTTTACCAGTTCATTTCATTTCTTCCTTAGGACCCCATGCAACCCCAGAGCCTCCTGACCAGGGCATGCCAAGATCTCTTCATAATGCCCTTTGCACGACCTCCCGCCCCTCTCCCCCTCTCTTGCCTTCTTCCCCCTCTTCTCTTGTCTTCCCATGGACACAGAGCCTGTGCAGATGCAGAGAGAACCACAAAAGCCATTCCAGACCTTTCCTCATCTTCCCCTGGTCCCTGGGCCATATTTGAATTGAGAAAGCCTATGAGTTGGAATGTAGGCCCCAGGTATTGGAGTCATGCAAGTGCTACAGGGGCTGGAAATTCCTCCTGCAGAAGCACACGTGTCTATTAGCTGTGTTCAATGAGCAGCTACCGTGTGCCAGGCCCCATGCACTGGGAATGTAATCACCAAGCGGTGCTGCTGAAGGGTGATGGGGGAGAGTCAAACCTTACCAAGGGTCACAAAAGTTTACACATAAACTAATACACTGCGATTTTATCTCCTCTGGGAAGTCTGTCCCCCAGAGCTGGGCTAAGTGGTCTTCCTCTGGTCCCGGGGTCCCTGTTGTGACCCCTCTCATAGCATCTCTTATGCTGTGTTATAACCACCTCTTTATCCATCTGCCGAAATAGACTGTGAGCTCCTGATTTATTACTGGCAGGAAAACTGCAGAGTTCCTTTGTAGGAGAGGCTAATGGATAATACTCTGGAGCCACAGGAAGAGCACTCAGCTCTTGGGAGAGAGCTCAGTTTTCTCATCTGTAAAATGGGCCTAAGAGTTGAGCTGTCCTGACCAGTGAGTGAGAGGAAGTCGGTGATGTGCTTCCCACAATGCCCAGCGCGATACAGACCAGGCTCCAGAGAGGGTGCGGTCATTAACTAAGCTACACCAAGAAGAATTTATAGTTTATCCAAATATTTTCTTTCTCAAGCATCCAAATAACTTCATCTCTAGGACAAGAAGAAGCAGGATTTTCTATCCCTCATTGAAGCATAAGATCAAAGGCCACAAATAAAGGCCTAGGGATGGGAAAGTATGCTTCCTTAATATGCATATTACCATCAAGAAAGGATGTTGATAAAAATGTGGGAAAAAGGAAAAACAGTTTGGCAGTTCCTCAGAATGTTGAACATAAAATAACCAGATGATCCAGCAATTCCACTCCTGGGTATGTACCCCAAACCACTGAAAACAGGTGCTCAAACAAATCCTCGTACATGTTTGTTCATAACAGCCAAAAGACAGAAGCAACCCAAATGTCTCTCAACAGATGAATAAGCAAACTGATGTCTACACAAGATGGAATATTATTCAGCCACGAAAAAGCACGAAGTACCAACACAGGCTACAACCTGGATGAATCTGGAAAACACGTTAAGTGAAAGAAGCCAGACACAAAAAGCCGCATACTGTAGGATTTCATTTATATAAAATATCTAGAATTGATATATCTATAGACATAGGATGTGGGTTTGTGGTTGCCAGGGGCTGGGAAGAGGGATTGACAGGGAATAACTGTTTAATGGGCATGGGGGTTTATTTTGGAATGATGGACACGTTCTGGAACTAGATAGAGGTGGTGGTTGCACAACATCACAAATGTACTAAGTGCCACTGAATTGCTCACTTTAAAATAGTTAAGTTTAGGGCACCTGGGTGCCTCAGTAGGTTAAACGTCTGACTCTTGATTTTGGTTCCAGTCACGATCTCAGGGTCTTGAGATGGAGCCCTGCGTTGGGCTCCGTGCTCAGTGTGGAGTCTGCTTAAGATTCTCTCTCTCGCTCTCCCTCTGCCCCTGCCCTCACTTGCGTGCACTCAGTCTCTCTCTCTCTCTCAAAAAAAAAAAAAAAGTTAAGTCTATGTATTGTGAACTTTACCTTCCAAAAGAAAGTGGGAAGAGATAATGCAAAATTTCTTGAAAGCTAATAGATGGTAAATGGAAAAAAATGGTATAGTTCCTCTTAGTAATTAAGAAAATGGCATTGGTTGTTCTCTTTAGCTTGTATTTATTCTTTCATTACAATACCAAATGTTGAATGACCACATATTTCAATGGTTTAAGTGTTCATTATTGAAGGAATACTATTTTTTAAACCACTGAAAACTTATTCCTGGAAAATGTCAGTCAGGGACATCAGACCTCCTTCCTCATGTGGCACATGCTCTGTGACCGTGTCCCCTTCCTTTATCCCAGACAGGGTGGGGGAGATGCATTGTCTGTCTGGAAGTGAGATGTTCTTTCCGTGGCCAGCTGTGAAAATCTGTGCCACTCGTCCCTTGCAAACACAGTAAAAAGCAGTTTTTCCTCAGAGGGGTCAATCATATCCTCGTGCGAATCTACCAAATGCATGGTAGTTGGAAATCACCAAGTATCCTGAGGCACTTGGCACATCATTGCCTTTTTTCTG